AAACGCAGGTCCTGGGACACTAGAAAGATACCCTGAGCGCCCCTGCTCCATCTCGGGAACACAGCACACCCCTACTTCCCTGTCACCTCAGACTGCTTGGGCCCCAGGGCTGTCAGTAGGACTTTGGCGTTCTGACAAGGGCCCCAGGCACACTGACCTGGCATAGCCCAGGCCCAGTCAGCTAAGAGGACCAAGGACACATTCCTGAAGTGGGAATGCTGACTGTGGAGTGGCCTCCCAGGGGAGGGTGAGGCGCCCATCGCTGGGGACACTCTGCCATCCTGGCACAAGCGCAGGCCTATACTATGGGAAGGGCCTGTCTGTGCCCCGGTCGGCCAGTTGACCATGCATCTTCCCTAGATGACCATTTCTGGGAGGACACACTGATCCTTCTCCCCTGAATTCCAGAGGTTCTTTGCCAGAGACACAGGCCACAAGCAGGAACAGGCATGTACTTCTCCACAAGCTCCCTGGGCAGGGACACAGCTCTCCAGGCCAAGCCATGCGATCCTCCTGAACATCTGGGAGAGCTTCCAACACTTCCTTAGAAACATGGCTGGCACCTCTTTTTAATAATTTCCATGATATTGTTCTGAGATAATCTTTAAGCCTTAAACTAAAACTATCCCCTAAAGTAGTCTTTAAACCAAACAATAGATAGTTTAATTAGTAAAGAATGTCCGCCTTGAGCATTGTGCTCTTTTAAAGAACTATCTATATGGGATCATATTGACAACAGCAACTTGAAAGAGGGCATAGTGAATTTATATTAATGGAGGAGGAACAAATTTGGAAAAAGAAGTTGAGAATGGTTGTATAACAAGAAGAATGTAGTCAATGTTACCAAATTGTACCTGTAGAAACTGCTGAATTGGCCTATGTTCTGCTGTGTATATTTTCACCAATAACAAAAAAATTATTAAAGAATAAGAATAATAATTTCCAAGAGCACCAGGGAAAGACAGCAGAAATGTGCTCACCAGCAGAGCTGGGAGATGCTCTTAAGGAAGAGCCTCCATTGAAGACGGGCTCCCAGAGAGACAGAAAGGGCCTGGGCCCCACAGCCACTCACCTAACTCACCAAGGCCAACCTCAATGTACTCCAAAGAGCCCAGAATTAGAACTGGGCCAGGCTGCTGCCCCCTCCTGGCCACTGGCAGCTCTGCACCCTCCCTGCCCTCCAACCCAGTGGCGCCGCCTCCTCCCACAGCTGAAGGGCCGGCTCCCTGAGACTCACCTGGGAGAGCCTGCGCCTCCACCCAATACATCTGAGAGCAGCAAGCCAAGCAAAGGTGTCGGTGGGTTTTCCAGGACCGGCACCATGTTCCAAACCAGACAAACCTATCCATCAGAGGGACGAGGAGCAAACAGGTCAAAAACGGCCTCTTTCTTCTATTCTTTATTTTCCAAATTTCTTTTAAGTGGCATGCACTTTAATAATGAAAAACAACTGCGTACTTTTTAAAAATTACTTGGCCTGAAACAAACAAGAAAGAATTTCACCACCTGTCTCGGGCACGAAGTTTAGCCAGTGCCAAGGTTTGTCCCACACTTGTGGGTCCCCACCTGCAGAGACTGGGCAAGAGGCCCTTAGACAGGAAAGCTCAGACTCCTGTGACCAAAGTGACAGCCACCAAGGGACGCTCTGAAGAAATTAGAGTAGGAAGTGCTGATGGAAATGGTGCCAGGAAATCCTGTGAAGCTGAGGTTCTGGGAGGATGGAGTGACTGGGCTGCTGACAAAGAGCTCCAATGGCTCTAAGGAAGCCATTTCCATCTGGACCCGGTACCCAAAAGAATAAGCACAGCTGCGGAGGTTGTGGAGAGCTGGAGAATGAAGCACGGGGTCTCCTGTGAAAGGCCAGAATCTAGAGCAGCCTCTTGCAGCAAGTGGACCGAAAAGCTGCACTGGCCACTCCTGAAGGGGATGCGGCATGAACCCCAAGACCACTCCACAGAGCAGAGTGGACCAAGAAGGCCACGCTGGCCTCTCCTGACGGGGACATGGCACAATCCTGAGACCTCTCGCCCCACTGAGGAGTGAAGTCACCCGGCGAGCAAACAGGTCGCCAGACGCTGTGCTCAGCCAAAGAGATCCCGAGGAAAGGATGGACAGAGGATAGGCTGGAGGCGTTGGGTACTGCTGGCTTCCTTCTCCATCCGGGGACGGAGGCAGCAGCTGAGACCCTGCCCTCTGAACATGTCCCGACCTGCTCTACCTGCCCACTGCTCCTTCTCCTGGCCCCTGATCACCAGCCAGATGTGAGCATACAAAGAGCCCCCGACAAGGGGTGCTGCAGCGACTGGTCCTGCAGTCAACAGACTGGAGTACACACACCCAGATACACCAGGACGGTCCAGGGCCTTCACGCAGGGTCAGTCTCAGGCGGGCCTTCCAGAGCCTGACCTCCACACAGCCTCTTACTCCCCACTTGGCTTAGAAAAGGCTGAGGGGGGCTTGCTGTCCAGCAGCATGGAGTCACAGAGTCGTCTTGGGCTCTCCTTCCTTCCTCCCTCTGCACCACAGCTGTTCCCACTTTATCTGCCACCACCCCAGTCTCACTTGGCACACTGCTCAGGGCATATCCACCTCAGGGGACCAGACAAAGGGGCCTTTGAAAACCAGGTGTTACATTGTAAAAGTGAGTATCACAAGCCAGCAGCCAGTTCTTCAAACAAGTCCGGGGGTTTCCAATTCTTCCTTTCAAAAAACTGAAGAAGGGCCACATCAAGTCATCATTTAATGGTAGATCGTTAAAAATAATTTTTGATTCGTCAAAAAACTAAAAACAGAACTATCATATGACCCAGCAATTCCACTCTTAGGTATATACTCAAAAGACATGAAAGCAGAGACTCAAAAAGAGGCTTGTATACCAACGTTCACTGCAGCACTATTCACAATAGCCAAAAGGTGGAAACAACCTAAATGCCCATCAACAGATGAATGGATAAACAAAATGTGCTACATACATACAATGGAATACTACTCAGCCAGCAGGAGAAATGAAATCTTAATATATACTACAGTATGGATGGAGCTTGAAGACACCATGCTAAGCAAAATAAACCAATCATGAAAGGACAAATATTGTATGACCTCACTGATATAAAGATAAGGAAAAGGTAACCTATAGAGACCAAAGTTTATTAGTGGTTACCAGGGGTGAGAGGGAGGGGGAAACTACTGCCCTGAGATAATCTTTAAACCTTAAACCAAAAATATCCCCTGAAGTCATTTTAAAACCAAACAATAGTTTAGCTCTTCAGCATTATACTCTTTTAAGAACTATCTATATGAGATCAAACTGACAACAGCAACTTGAAAGATTAAACAGCACCTCAGGGGGCAGTGAGTTTATGTTAATGGCGGAGGAACAACTCAGAAAAGGAAGGTAAGAATGGTTGCACAACTCTAAGAATGTAATCAATGTCACTAAATTGTACATGTAGAAACCGTTGAATTGGTATATGTTCCAATCTGTATATTTTCAACAGCAACAACAAAATAAAATTTTAAAAAAATAATAATAATCTTTGATGATGTGTGCCAAAATCCACACGACCTCAAAGTTCAAGGAATTAAGCAGCACTGCCACAACACAATTCCCCCATTCCATTTACTTGGTTATGGGCATCAGTGACTCAGCACTCAGATGCAGAAGCAAGAGCAGAGCAAAGCCAGCACTGAGCGTGTCTCATCTGAGCAGTGAGCACACCACCCACAGATACAGGAGCTGACTGCAAAAGATGAACAGCCCCCGCCACATTAGTGAGGAATGTCTAATCCAATTTCACTTTTATATTGATTAATTTGTCTAATCTGTAATAGCTCACGCATACCACTACTAATTATAAAGATAGCTCAATATGGAAAAAAAATTTAACACTCAGAACTTTGCAGTAACAGAAAATTTTTAAGTTTTCAAATATGAATTTATATATGTTATTTTTGTGGCAGGATAGCACTGAAGGATGAACAATATAATACATTCAAGCATAAAAGAGATCACACTAGGAAAAGAGACTGTTCACATATTTTATTTATTTTTAATGAACGATGGTGGGTATCAAATCGAAAACCAAAATAAAAAACCCAAACCCACTGCCATTGAGTTGACTCCGGCTCACAGTGACCCTATAGGACAGAGTAGAACTGCTCCATAGGGTTTCCAAGGGGCAGCTGGTGGATTTGAACTGCTGACCTTTTGGTTAGCAGCCGAGCTCTTGACCACTGAGCCACCAGAGCTCCATCAAATCACTGGCATATAGTTTAAAAAGTGACGTTAACACTATATTTTCAAACTCTCAACCTTATGCTAGATATGAGGATTTCAGGACGTAATTTATTTAAAATAAAAGCCCCACATGTCATCTTGAGAGCAGTGTGTCTTCTCTCCTCATGCTTAACTCCACCTAGCTCCTCAGACCCTGCTCAAGAGGACTGCTCCAGGCCCCTCACTCTCCTGGCTGGCTTCACTGGATCAACCTATTTCATCAAAACCCCTTTTAAAACATGACAGCCAAGACAGAGGCCTACAGATTTGGTGGCTGACGAAAGGCAACAATGGTGTTCCAACTTAAAATTAACTGACCTTCTCATCTGTCTGGCACTTGCTTTTAGGAGGCTCAATGGTTAAGTGCTCGGTTGCTAACCGAAAGGTTGGTGGTTTGAACCCACCAACCACTCCTCGGGAGAAAAGCCTGGTGATCTGCTTTGGTAAAGATTTACAGCCAATAAAACCCTATAGGGCAGTTCTACTGTGTCACATGGGGTTGCCAAGAGCTGAAATCGACTCCATGGCATCCAATAAGAAGTATATGCAGCTGTAATGTGCTTCCTCCTCTGCTCAGAAAGCCTCCAAAGATCACAGCCTCAGCCATGACCAACCCCCAGACTCAGTGGAGAGGGTAGATGGCAGGTTAGCCATCTACCCACAGACCCGGAAAGAGAGCCACCAGATGACCCACTGACTCGGGAACAGAGCAGCTCAGCCTTACCTCTGGGTGCACTTCCTTTTTATCTGACGTGGTTCCAGGCACAAGCAGTACCTCTTTTGCTGATGTCTTCTTCAATTTTTTGTTCTTTTTCTCTGTGACTTCGGGAATTTTTCTCTTCTGTTTTGTCATCCTGCAACAGAGAAAGTAAACTGCTAAGCACAAAGGAAATAAAAGGTCTTCTTGTCGTGTGCCATTGAGTCAATTCTGACTCATGGTGATCCCAGCTGACAGAGCAGGACTGCCCCATAGGGTTTCCTAGGCTGTAATCTTTATGGGAGTAGATCACCAGGCCTTTCGTCCTTGAAGCTGCTGGGTGGGTTTGAACCGCCAACCCTTCAGTTAGCAGCCAAGTGCTTAACCGCTGCACCATCAGGGCTCCTTAAAATGTCTTAGGCCATTTAATATTTTTAAACAGAGGGGGGACACTCTTTTATCATAAAAGAAATAAAAGGCATCTCAGAAAATATGTACACCCTTCTTTTTTCCTTCCTGTCACTGATCACAAGTATGGGGTTTTCAGCGTCCGTGCCCCAGGCCATCTGGTAAAATAAGTGCCCCTGCACCTCTGTGACACATTCTAGCCTGAGCTATCACCCTGAGGTACGAATGCTGAAACAGTGCCAAGTATCCTGTGAGAACACTTTGCTCCCGTGGACTCTGGAAAGTTCAAACCTTGTTCTGTGTGGTGTGGATGCTTTCTGGTCAAGTGCCCAGAATACCCACTCATTTGATCATTCTTTTTGGGAAGGTAGACCTTGTTGTTAAGTGGTTGTCCGGGGGTTTCCAATTCTTCCTTTCAAAAAACTGAAGAAGGGCCACATCAAGTCATCATTTAATGGTAGATCGTTAAAAATAATTTTTGATTC